TTGTCCCGGTCCGGGACGACCCTCTGCGGAGGTCGCACGTGTCGACTTTGTAGTACAACTTTAGTGCGCGGAGCAATCCGAGGAGCTGGAAGCTGAGAATTGGCGACTTTGTAGTGCAACTTTAGTACGCGGAGTATCTGGGGAGCTGGAAGATGAGAACTGGCGACTTTCTAGTACGACTTTAGTCCGCGGAGTATCTGGGGAGCTGCAAGATGAGAACTGGCGACTTTGTAGTACAACTTTAGTACGCGGAGCAATCTGTGGAGCTGGAAGCTGAGAACTGGCGACTGGGAGGTACAACTTTAGTACGCGGAATATCTGGGGAGCTGGAAGATAAGAACTGGCGACTTTCTAGTACAACTTTAGTACGCGGAGTATCTGGGGAGCTGGAAGATGAGAATTGGCGACTTTGTAGTACAAGTTTAGTACGCGGAGCAAGCTGTGGAGCTGGAAGCTGAAAACTGGCGATTTTGTAGTACAACTTTAGTACGCGGAGTATCTGGGGAGCTGGAAGATGAGAACTGGCGACTTTTTGTTTCCCTTTAGTACGCGGAGCAATCTGTGGAGCTGGAAGCTGAGAACTGGCGACTTTGTAGTACAAGTTTAGTACGCGGAGTATTTGGGGAGTTGGAAGATGAGAATTGGCGACTTTCTAGTACGACTTTAGTACGCGGATTATTCGGGGAGCTGGAAGATGAGAATTGACGACTTTGTAGTACAACAGTGCGCGGAGCAATCTGTGGAGCTGGAAGCTGAGAACTGGCGACTTTGTAGTGCAACTTGAGTACGCGGAGTATCTGGGGAATTGAAAGATGAGAACTGGCGACTTTCTAGTACGACTTTCATTACGCGGAGTATCTGGGGAGCCGGAAGATGAGAATTGGCGATTTTGTAGTACAACTTTAGTACGCGGAGCAAGCTGTGGAGCTGGAAGCTAAGAACTGGCGATTTTGTAGTACAACTTTAGTACGCGGAGCATCTGGGGAGTTGGAAGATGAAAACTGGCGATTTTTTAATATAACTTTAGTACGCGGAGTAATCTGTGGAGCTGGAAGCTGAGAACTGGCGACTTTGTAGTACAAGTTTAATATACGGAGTATTTGGGGAGCTGGAAGATGAGAATTGGCGAAGTTGTAGTACAACTTTAATACGCGGAATATTTGAGCTGGAAGATGAGAACTGGCGATTTTGTAGTACAACTGTAGTACGCGGAATTAGTTGTGGAGCTGGAAGCTGAGAATTGGCGATTTTGTAGTCTACTTATAATACGTGGAATGAGTTGTGGAACTGGAAGCTGAGAACTGGCGATTTTGTAGTAAAACTTTAGTGCGCGGATGAGTTATTTCGCGCGGCTCAATCATCTTTCGCGGCTGTTCTAGCGCCCCTGCAGCTGAGTCATGTTTCTCGACCACCCGGCTTTCTTGAAAGATTGATAAATTTTGGCTACTTTGTTTACTCATAAGTGGCTGCTACAAAAGAAGAATCGTAACGTTAGTATGTGTGTATTTCACCTTTATGATAAACGATTTTCGCTTGGAATGCACGAGTCGCTTATTATGATCGTAACGTCGTTTATTCTTAGGTCGCCCTGTTCGTGGAAACTTCAATCTGAAAAAATATACGTTCTTTAGTTCTGTTTGAACCTCTTTAATGTTATATTTGCACAACTAAGGTTGATGTTGCGCTGCCGTTGCATCGACTCATCTACGTCTACATCTCCTCACCTCTCTACATTTACATCTTCACACGTTCATATCCGCAGATCTACCTCTCCACCTCACCACACCCACGCATCTGCACATCTATATCATATCTGTACATCCACATTGTCGTTCCTTCACATCTGTCCTGTCTTTCTTTCTTACTTTCTTTCTTTCTTTCTGCATATCTTTTTTCTCGTCTCTGTGTATTTATATTTTCGCACGCTCATATTTATAGATCTACCTCTCCACCTCTATACATCTACAAATCTATATCGCACCTGCACTCCTTCACATCCACCCTCTCTTTCTCTCTTTCTACACATCTTTTCGACAGTGCTGGACAATTACATGTCTCGCTCTCGGGCCAACCGTCGTCTATTTTGCAGTGTATAAGCTTACATGAAAACTCCAAAATTAAACCCCCATTAAATAGTAATATGTCTTCTCAACAAAGGACTTCTTCTGACCCACAAATAAATCCGGCGTTAGTTGGCGATCCACCCGCTTGCGTTGTGCCTGTGGTAAAGGTAATGTCAAAATCGCAAAATAATTTAATACCTTGAAATTGATCTTTTTATTAATAGAAATTATTCTATTTTGTTCCAAGCCTAAAAAAACAGCTCGTAACCTTATGAAATGTAGTGAAGCTTCGTCGCAGAATAGGACTTCGTCTGAGCCCGAGACAGGTCTAGTGTTAGTTGGCGACCCGCTAAGTTGCCTGCAGCCAACCAAGGGCGGGCACGGCAACAGGGATAACAGGACACCCAGACATCATTCCAAATCAGCGCAATCCATTCAGAATCCAACCCGAATCCATCTAGAATTACGTTAAGCTCGGTCCCTTGTTCGAGAGGTCTGAGGCGTTATTCCGAAAACAAATTCCTGAAAATAATATACAAATATACCATGCAAATTATAACATTTTAGCATATATTTGATAAGCTATTGGATCGTATGTTTTCAACTGGGCCCTCTTGCAAGGGCAAGGTAGCAGGTAGCAATCTCCCCAGGCTTTAATTTCGCCTGCCAGCGTGGTCGCAAAACTCGTGGACAAACCCACGGTGAAAACAACACAAGGCAAACAACAAATAGTGCAAACGATCGGTAGAAAAAATTCCGGTATTCACACCATGAAAACCGAAAATATTTGCATTATTTTGGGAACTTTGGAAAGCAACAATGATATCGCGAATATATACTGTGCCTAGCATTTTTTCGATTGTTTGTAATTTCAAGACTGTGACCCCCGGAAGCAGCTGCGCCTCTGCTGGGCCACGCGCAAATGGCAAAATGGCTGCAACAACAGGACTGCTATGGTAAAGAATTGAAAATCGAGCTGATTAGGGCACCATCAATTTTGAGAAAACCCAATTCGTGTTTGCAAAGAAATTTCTTTCTTTTCATAATGCTTCTGTGCAAGAAATTGTCTCCAATTTATATATAATATTGTACGATGTCCATGATGCCTGCAAAAAACACCGTATAGTCTGATAATGCTAGTTTGCACGAAGCTGTCTCGCAATTGCCATCAATGCAAAGATCTTTTTTTTTTGAAGCGGCAAAAGGCAACTCGAACAGAAAGTCATTCAAAATATGGAACAAATGACCGGCGCAGTCACCACAATGCAGAATGAATAATATATATATATGGATATATGTCAAAAGATACAGGTCGAAAATAGATCAATGCAATATTGTCAAATAAATGCAAAATCTTTCAAAATATCAAACAAATCAAAATTTTATTAATACAATATTATTACACAAATATATTCTGTCAAAATATCAAATACACATATTAAATTTGCGACGCATTCATACATATAATCATTAAAAAGAAAATATTATAATAAGGCCATATTCCCTTGCGCGTCCGAATGTTGCAGCACAAAGCGCTGCCGCACGCGTCCAAGAAATGTTCGATAAATACATAAGAATGAAATAAAAAATATAAATCCAAAATCGATCGTTACGAATAATTTCGACATAAATCAACATTGTTTATGGTAGACCATGCGAGATTCGAACCCGCGACCGACGGCATCGGAACGTCATAGAATTACTTAAATAATACATGCCCCAAGACGAAACTTGAGGCCGAGGGGACGAAAGCTAGCAGGGGTGCATCCGGCCTGGTGGGACATCAAGCGGAGTGAGGCAAATGCTCATGAGGTAAAATGTAGTGAACATGTAAAATACCCAAACAGCAATGACATAGCCAACCTTAGAATTGAAGTCCCCGATAATTAAGGAAGCGTAGCTGGACTTTGCCACACTATTCGATACATCCGATATATTCACGAACCTGTGAACTCGTTGAATCTGTTGCACCGTATCCCAAAACCTCCACGGAGGAATTAAATCAGTATAGATGCCATAAGAGGTGCCCAAGAAGTATCCCAGAGGCAAAACAAAGCTGCTTGCATGATTTGTTTAGTTTCTTCTATCGATGTCGATATCATAAACATGGGAGCTTGTTAAATCTATTACACCGTATCCCGGAAGAATTAAATCAAAGCTAATGCCATAAAAGATACCCGAAAGATATCCCAGAAGCGTCCGAAAGAAGAATTAAATCCACGGAGGAGGGCCCCACATATGAAGTTTTCACGTAATGCGACGATCCCGAAAATTCCAATCCCTCATTTACTAAAAAAATAATTCCAACTAAATAATACTAATTTTCGTAAATATAATATCTAAAATAATTAAGCTATATTATATATTTAAAAATCGAAATATATTTAATAATCGAAGTATTTAAGCAAAAATCCGGACCGCAATAGAAATCATAAATTAATTGCACATAATCAAAACTAAAAATAAAGAAACGAACATATAAGAAATAATACGATTATTTCAATCATTTTGCTTCAAAAATCCGCATATTTTTGCTCAATCGCAACCCAATCCATATTATAAATAATAATATTTTAATATCTAAATATTTAAAAAACATAAAAATACATTTTCAAATTATTATAAATAATATTAATTAAATTTAATAATTATTAAAATCCTATTATCCCAATATTATATTTCATATTATTATCATCATCAATAATATTATAGAATATCTAAACAATATATTCATCATATTTTAATAAGAAATCCACGATATAAAAGAGACACAAAAACCAATAAAAATCATATCATAGGAATATTAATATTCTATTTTGGATCCATTATTTCAGTTTAATATCCTGCTTTGCAGGTAAGCAAGGATCTTTCCGGCTCCTGGATATCCCATTTCATGATTCAAGCCGCCCAAATCTGCGCATTTGCAATTTAATTGCTCGGGTCATTGAACATGATTTCCAGGTGCTCAGATTCTTCGAGTCCGCCGGACTGTAAGATCCCAAGAGTTTAACTGCGGGATCAAACACAAAGAGCTGAGGAATCATGCTTCACAGATTCTTCTCGCGACGTCTGTAGGAAAGTGAAGGCATGCAAACAAACCAGTATACACATGTTGGGTCAGCGTTCTCCTCTGGTGTTGTACCAAAGGTATCTTACGGATCAATTCCCAACTTCTCACACACGGCGTTCATCATGCGGATAAGCAAAGAGCACTTTAGCCGAATTGCAATGATATCCGTCTTTGACACAGGACCCCGACATTTCAACAGTCCATCAACCATCTCTTCGAACTCTAGCTCGCCGCTTAGGTCCTCAAAATGGATGCGAGTGCTCGTTGTGGTTCTATTTCTGACAATTCCCCAAATCCGCGACACTGTACCATCTAATTCTTTCGCACCTAAATTCAACAAAGTTCTACTTGCGCTACTTCTGCCGAGCTGCAGCATCCAGGACGTCGAAAAGGTCGCTCTTGCAACCTTTGCTTTCTGTTTAAAAATCACAAACACACATATTTCTTTAAAGGCCAACCTAGAAGCGATGGCCTCCAACTCCAACCTAGAAGCGATGGCCTCCAACCTAATATCGATCGCCTCCAACACAGCAAAAATCCTCATTGCTTTGTTTTTTTCCGTAAACGTACAGGGATCAAATGATCAATGACCATCAAATCAGCAATCCAAGGAACTCATGTCAATCTCAGACTCGTCCAGTCGCGAGATGAGCTCCTTTTCACTTGAAAGCCACTGGTTGAACTCCTCCTGCCACGATACATGCTGCTTGCACGTCACATCTCCAAATGTGTGATCTAAGCGCAAAGGACAAAAATTGCAATCGCAATTATTTTGAACAGGTGAGGATTAGTTTCCCAAACATGCCAGTCAACAAAACAGGCAGGAACTTGATACAAGTAAGAAAATACTCTTGGAGATTCTTGGGGAATCTTAAAGATCTTGCTTTTGCAAGGATGTCTGTCAAAGACGGCCATGTCAGGTCTACGATGGCTTTTGCCTGAGTGGAACCAGGATTGCACTGGACGCCAAGCAATATGTTTGTTGCGCATCATCCCGGAGAGTGTCTTCATTTGTTAGTCTTAGCATGTTTGTGTCTAAATGCGTTGATGTCCATTTTGCATCATTTTGCACACCCCATGGCGTGCCCTCGTGACCACCACATCACGCTCTGCCATTTGCTTTCGGATCTCTTCAGTCTTCTCTTCATACTCTGCATTGGTATGTGCCTTGTAGCCGTACCTTGGAGGCCAAGGTGAAAGGAGACTTGGAGGCACCAAGGTGCTGAAATTCACCGCGTCGAATCAAACGAAGCCCCTGAACAAATGACATCTCCCCTGGTACAGGTAAAACATGGTAAACATCAGCCTACAACTTTGAGCATCTTGGTAGAACATGGAAGAAACAACATGATATTCTGGGCAAGCAAATTGGTCTGCCTCCTTGTCTGACAGCTTGATATGCATCGCACAAATCAACCTGCCCAAACACGAGCCCCACCAGGTCTGGAAGGCGGTCGGCACCACACTGGACTTCAAAAGGTCGTATAATAGCAATAAACAGCAAACATGAAATGACATTGTAGAACATAGGAAGGTCAGTGCCTCTCCTGTAAAGGGGCCTTATGAAAGTGTGCTTATCTTTCTTTCAATGATCTTCACCTACTTAGTCTTGGCACAGTGACAGCTTTCATTCCTTGACACAGTGACAGCTGCCACGGTGTTCTGAATGTCTTATTCTCCCGTGTCATCTGCAATACTACTCTTGTCCCGTCTTCTGTTTGGCCACGCTGCATCTCTTGGAGACTTTGGATTTGCTCCTTGAGGAGCTTCGACATACGACGATGGTTTCCCTTTGTGGCTTCCTCTTGCTCTTGTTGACACAGGTTCGTCAAGATAATGTGCCCTCGGATCTCAGCTCATCTCATACAATCTGCGAAAGTCTTGCAAGAGTCTTGCCTTCTCTTGCCAGCGAAAAAAGACAATGACTCACACACACACACGACTTCATGCATATGATCCATAACTGTGGCTAATGGACAACATCCTACACCGCTATGTGCACACTTTGGGACAACAGTGAGAAACACAAACAACGTTGAATGTCCTGCACCACCTCCACAAAGCTGTAGGGGGCATGGATTGCTGTGGTGCAGGAAATTGTACATCAACATAAATTTACTCCTTCTTCAGGCATGATTGCTTAAGCAACTCAGACTGATGTTATGAAGGACAACAAAAGATTGCTCATTGTTCTTTTCATGCTGGCTTGTACTGCTGTTGGATGCTGTTGACTGTTGGATGCTGTTGGATTTGGCACTGAAGTCACCCCTGCTACGCCAGCCACATCTCCCACTACCTTAATAGTCAAGAGTCGCAAAGCCGAGGAAATAAGCCAAGCTGTCTTTGAAGCATTTTGACCTAACAAGCGTTGCCGCTTCTTTGTGCTTCCATCCGCGACGTTGTCAATGAACACTGCCTCACAAGCACCACAACATTGAAGACATTCCTCTGCCAAATAGAATAGCACACAGCCAAATTCATGGCATTTCCAAGCCACCATAATCAGATTGAAAATGCCAATGGTGACCTCGAGGTCCAAGCCCAAGACAAACAAAAAAGGTTGAACGAGGGACAGAAAGAGGAACAGCATCTTGTCAAAAGCACTACCTTGCAACTACCTTGCAAGGGGTAACACCACTGTTAAGTCAACTCCAGGTGACAAAAAGGAAGAGAAGCATGTAGATAAATAAGAAAGGCGCGCCAAACTTCCTTCCTTGCTGTGCTGGATTCTAAAAGGCAATTTTCAAAAACAATCATTCAATTCAAGAATGTGTCTTTACATTCCTCACGCACCTGGGCTTTACAGCCGAAATTGGCAGGCTTAAGACAGAACGTAATAGACCTCACATGAGACATGACATAGCATATCTTGCATTCCTAGGGAGAAAATTCAACCTAAGAGGAAAGTCTCTTGTGAGACAAGGCGAGCGTCGCAACTGCTCCTGCAAGGGCATGCCATACTCTGAGGAACATCCGTCAGTAAAGCATCGGAAGCAGGTGAACATTGCCGCGGAGACAGTGCCTTGGGGAGTCAAATCACCAAACAGTGGGCATCTTGAACGTTTTGAGAGTGTTCACCTTGGATAGATTCAATCACTCACCAGGTTCATGTCTGGCGCGGTGCTAGGGAGATTGGAGGGCTCTTCCTGCAGTTGAAGGAAACACAATTTTCTCATGTTGAATGTTGGTTATGGAGTTGTGCATATCAATGCATAATATATATATACAGTATATATATATTATATCCATGCTGCGTATCTGAGGAACGAATCACTACAAACAGGCTTCATAAGCACCTCGTTGCCCCTTGGATCTTCGGTTCAGTGAAACAAGGATGGATGAAACGCCAAGCAAGCTGCGAAGAGAAACACACACACAAAGAATCACCCAGGTTTATCATGGTTTATCTAGGTGCACCCTTTGCTTCTACGAACGAGAAGGACATTCATTTCATTCTCTTTACAAGAAGCCTTTTCAGCAGGGATTGGTGAAGAAAACGGGCTCTACTGAGGGTTAGGTACCACGAAACAAACAACTTCTTTGTGAATGTCCACCTGTCTTCGGGATAGTTTGTAGTCTTCTCTCCGCAACATCTTTCACTTGCAACCGCAAACAGTAGTGCAGCAGTTGGCTGGGAAGCTCCAATGTCCAATGGGACTCAAGACATCTCGAAATCAGGTCGGACTCGTGACTAGTGTTCAGCTTTCGTCCGGAGCAGCACTCTAGTTGCTCTTCAGTCTTTCAGCCGCAGAGTGTCAGGTAGTTAAGTTTCCCTAAAAATCTAGGAAACAAATCTTTGGTCGGCGAGCGCTTCCTTGAACCAGCACGAACTATCCTGCTTCCAGTTACTAGTAGCAACCTAGCTCCTACTAGCTACCTCTAGCTACTAGCTACCTACCTCTACCCCCCCGGGCTTAAAAAAACCCGGAAGCGCAACTTTTCAACATTTAGAAGTATTGCTGGATGGCGTCGGCCTCTCAGCTGGGAGCCCTTGCAAGACCTTCTCAGGCAAGGGGCTGAAGATGGGACGCCTGGACCTGGGCCTTTGCACTCTATCTGTGGGGCCTGCCTAACCACACCTGAAGAGCTACGAAAACTTGCAACATGAGAGCGTCGACAGGTGGATCTTTTGCAAGGTCCTTTAAACATGCTGTACTTTTGATTGGCCCAAGATGTGGAACCGAGGAACTAGAAACAAAATCCATGCAGAATGCAGCCGGACACAGTTCTACAATATTCTACAATATCTGGGTGCCTCGTTCTGGCATTCAATGCCGTGAACTTCGGCAAGCAGGAGGGGTCGGAATCTCTGAGCCAGGGTTACCGGCAAATGCTGAAGCTCCTTCCATTTAGAACTCAGGCCGGGCGGATATTTACAGGACCTCGAGTTTCGCCTGCGATGAAGAGCACCGGCCTTCTGACCTTGGGACTGCCTGGCGCACCTCGCCTGCTTTACAATACATGGTGTGGGCTTTTCCGCTAAGATTGCAGCTGCGAGAGCTACAAACCCCATTTGAGCTTTCATCTGCAATGCAAACATGTTTTTTTTAAATATGTTTTTTCTTTTTTCTTTCCGTCTGTCCTTCTTCTTTCTTCCCGAAAGCATTGCGAAGGGTTCTTCCGGAAAATCCTTTGAACACTGACACTTCGACACTCACACTTACACACACACACACACACTGGAAGAGCGAAAGCATCCAAGTGCGAAGTATGCCAGTGTCAAAGTATGCAAGTGTAAGTATGCAAGCATGATATGCAAGGGTGAGCATGCAAGCATGCAATGACTATGCAAGCACGCAATGAGTAGGCAAGTGTGAGTATGGAAAACTAGCACGGGAGATGTCCTAATGAAAAAACATTTCCCCACTTTTTTATAAATTCTCTCTTAAAGGCGGAGTGCGGGACGAACAGCATCAACCGAAAGTGCAACCCTCTGCGGAGATCGTGCGTGTCGAGTGCGCGAAATGCAGGTGAGAGTGCGATTT